TCCCCATAGAAGAGCAGGGAAAGTGAAAAGAAGAAAAAAAAAAAAAAAAAGACCAAAAGAGAAATGGAAAGGACTGGGAAGGAGGGAGAGAGAGCAGAAGGGGAGGGAGCCTCAGAAGGGGACTGAAAGGGAGTGTGAATGGACCCAGGTATCCTTCACCATAAGCGGGGAGACCACAGGTAAGTAAATGAACACATACATACATGCATAAAAGAAAATACAAAGCTTTCAGGGGCTCCTCACAAAATCAGAGTCAAAGCTTTTGCTTTTCCTACCTCTTGCTAATCCAGATTAGAGATGTTTTCCCCCTCCCGACACTCAAACCTCAAGGTCCCGTGCTCCCCCAGGCTCCTCCCCACAGCCACATTCCCCCTGCAGGCTTCCACTCCATGGGAAGCCTCCTTGGACAAAAGAATGGGGTCAGCTCCCCCGCCAGGGTCCTGGAAGGCCTCCCTGACTCTCTGCCAGGCCTTGTGGGTGGAACAGAGCGTCTCCCTCCAGGGCAGAGGATTCTGGGGAGATCCCTGTGGAAGATGCCCTGCCCAGCTGGAGCACCATCAACTACCTTGTATGTGCATGTTTTCACTTTGTATGTTTAATTCGTTTTTATTGAATTTCAAATGACTACAGACATAAAGTAAACACGTAACAAGCCAATGGAGCAGAAAGGAAGTAGACCACATAAATACAACAGCCTCAGCATGGAGCTCCACTTAGCACCACAGGTTTGGAGTGTTATAAGCATTAATGAGTCCTTACAAGGCCCAGGGGAGTCGCTCCTGGCCTGGCAGCCAGGTAGGGCGACGCGCTCACAGAGGGACATTTCTCCCCAGGGACAACACAGAGCATTCAGAGCCCAGGAGTGCACACACTCCTCCCAAGGGCACTTAGAGGCCTACAACTGGCCATGCACGTGGGCTGCTTAGGCATCTGTAGGCCCCTCCCCGCCCCCTGCTCAGGTTAGATGCAAAGCAATCTCACCTTCTTCTTTTGTATTCTAGTTGTGTGCAGAAACAGGCCAGGAGTTCCACACCAAAAACAAAACACAGTTGGGAAAGCGCCAAGTCCCACACCTGCAGGTCCATGCAGGCTGCGTCTCTACCAAGAGGGAACAGGAAGGGAGCGGCAAATCTTCCCAGCCTGCATTTCTCACACTGAGCATGAGCCCATCTCCCACCCTGGGCCACAAATTCTGCCACGCCTTGGGATCCTGTGATCTTACTTCATCCCAAAGGGCAAACTGCAGCTAAAGCAGACACTGGTTTGTCTGGCATCCATGACGTGGAATCGGAAGTAGCAGTGCCCCGTACAGGCTTGGCCAGACCACCTGTGTGGAGAGAAGAGCTCCCCTGGGAAGTGCTGGAATTCATTCCAGAGTAGAGCACCTCCCACCAAGGAACCAAGGGGACATTTCCAGCCCCTGTGCAGGACTCCTTAATGAATGCTTTGGTGAAGCTTACGAGGAAAGAACAGAAGTCAGGGGCTGTACATCACAGCTGATAAAAAGGGGCTGTGGCACGTACACTTGACTTTAAAAGAATAACTAAAAACAAATGAAGAACTCAGCACCAGGGCCCATCTGTGCACCAGATAACTGAAGCTAAAATTCCAAGACTGAGCCCAAGAGCTCAAGGACCAGAGAGGCTGACGTTATCTACAGGAAGGAGGCAGAGGAGCTGCAAGCCCACCTGAACCTAGGCCCACGCCAGCAGCTCCCAGACCAGCAGCCAGGTGCCACTTTGTAAGCCCTTCCTCCACTCTTTGGCTCTCCTTCAAGTATCTGCAATGCCTACGTCAAGTCCAGGGTCCCAGCACCTCCAAGTCAGGATCCCATCTCACCAGTGAGCACTTCATAACTGGTCTCATCTGCCTCTCTCCTGTCTCAGAAGCACTGGCCCACTTGCACTGCTGAGAACACCCACGTGAATGGCAGGGGCTGGGCCGAGCTGCGGCACTTATGGGTGCTCATGGCCTTGGCACTAAGCTAAGGAGAATGGTGATTTAGAGGGCCTTCTGCTCCTTCTCTCCCTGTCTCTAGCCAGCAGCTAAGTTGATGTGGGACGAATTTCAGTCAGTTGTGAATAGGCTGTGACTAGGCTGAATACTCTGCTCCCTTTCAGGGGAACTGAACATTAGAAAGGTATGAGAGGAATCTGGCTAAGCTAATGGGAAGGTGCTGAAGAGAACAATAATCCTTCCAAGGAGACAGGAGGCATGGTTGGCTTCTGGTTTCTCGAAAGAGAAAATCTGCATCACACTCAGCCCTTCCCTCCAGAGCCTCTCAGTGGCATAAAAGAAGGTGGGCAATGTGCAGGAAGAGAAGCACCTCACCCAGCTTCTCACTGTTTCTGGTAAGACTGGCCTCCAGTTAATCAGCTCTGGGAATCTAAGGGCCAAAGCCCCAGGGAGCTAAGCACCCCCTCCCGTTGCCATCCACACTAATCAGCCCTGAGTCCCTCCGAAATTCTCCCCTATCCTAAGTCCCATCTTGGTTGCCGGTTGGGCTAGGGAAGGAAGAGCAGATCTAGCAAGGATCTTCCCACACACCTTTCAGGAGGAGGAAAACCTAGGCACCAGCAACACTTAGAAAGAGCTAGCTTGAAACAAAAAATGAGAAGAAAAAATTGTGTTGCAATGTGGACTGCATTCTAACTCGTCCCACTGGGTGCAGGCGTAGGGGTGGATTATTGCAGGCAAGACCCGGGCTGCCTTGGTAATTCTGCAAGTTTGATAAGAGATCCTGGCAGACTGCTTCCTGCTCCTGAGAGAGAAAACAGGCAGCACCTTGGCTGTGTCTGACTGGTGTGTGGCGTGGGGGTCCTTGGGAGTCACGCTGCCTTAAAATTGGGTAATCTTGCTCTGTTATGACACATTGAAGCCTATTCACAGCTGAGTGGAAATAGCTGGTATGCATAAAGGCATGGCTCCCCTTAGGGAATCCAAGAATACAACCAGCCCTCACCACCACCCCCAAGACCATGATAAGAAGACCACAGACCGGATTTCACCTCGGGGCAAAAAGCACCACCAATTTCTACTCATGTATTCAGGGATGCTTCAAAGTATGAGCAAATATTATGCTTCTCTGCATTTATTTCTGATGAAAAAAAAAATCACACATGCTAATTTATATGTAAATTCAGTATGGCCTTGGGGCTTCTGGAATCCAGCCAGTGGGGCTGCTGATGGAGGAATTGGGGCCACTGTCTCCAGGTTGATATAATAATAGAGGAGACATGGATCTCAGGACAGATGGAAATTACTGAGGGCTCTGGACCTACCCTCAGCCTTCCCCGACTCCTCACTCCATACCTGGGCCAGTAAGTTTTCATTTCTTTTGCAAGGTTGCAAGATGCTTTCCCTGAAGGTTTCTGGCCTCGAACTCAGTTTCCCCATTGTGCGTGCTAGGGAGGGGCCTGATCCAGCATGTGAGTCTCTGCTCAGCCAGGGACACAGGCACAGGGGCGCGCACTGCTGCCTGCCCACGTTATGTAAGAGGAGTCAGCCAAGGATGCTTGGAGTTGACTCCTTCGTTCTCACACCCACCAGTGCCCCAGGGGAGAGGAGAGAGAGTGGAAATGCACCAGCCTCCCGAGTGGGCGCAGCAGGCGACGTCATGGATACCCCCATGTCACTACCCTGGCCTCCTGGTCTTTCCACAGGGATTCATCCAGTACTTCCGCCTTCCTCCCTGAGCCCCAGCCAAGGGTGCAGGCACATGAGATTCCTTCTAGGCTGGGCCCTTCTTCCGTGTTCTCGGTTCTGCTAGGGACAGTGGCAGCTCCCACAGCCTGACATGAGGAAGGGTCCGCAGGACCAGACTCAGACCCAAGAGACCCTGAGAGCCCCACGCTGCAGTCGAAGAAGAGGAGGCAGTAGGACACATGTCTTTCTCGCCTGACAGAGAGAACTTTCCTCAGGGAATACACCAGCATGGGCACAGCCTCCCTCCCGCCACCGCCTCGCTCTGCTGGGCTCCTCCTGGCGAGCCCCGCCGGACCACCCGGGGAAAGTTTCTCCGCCTGCCTCGCCCCAGGTTCAGGCATCTGTGATTCCAAAGAGGCAGCCAGAGCCCCAAAGACAAGGTGAATAGGGAAGAGCAGTGAGCGCCTAGTTCTGCCGTCAGCAGGCGCGTGAGGGAGGGCCAGGGCAGGGGCTGGGGGCGGCGGCGGATCCCCAGGGGACCCCGACCAGAGCAGCCAGCCCCAGAGTGCATCTTGGCTGGAGAGCAAGCTCAGCTCGCTCTGCCTGAGCTGCAGCCTGCCAGGACTCCCAGCCCAATAAATAAACAGCAAATTAGCATTCGGCTCCCAGTGCCTCTCTCCTTTCAACTTAGAGCAGCTCTCCCTGAATTTCCGAGCCTTTGCCCGCACTGCCTTTCATCTGCTGGTTACTAGCAACCCCCACGCCAGCCCAGCCTCCGCCACACACGCCCCCCGTGCATTCAGAACTAACACAGTTGTTCGCCGCTGCCGCAAACTGATCCATCCCTTGAAGCAAGACCGCTGACCAGCACCTGCTGGAGGCACCTGATTATTTGTAGCCTGCATTCTCGCCTTTGCTCCTTCTGGCAGCTTTGCAACTTCACCGGCCGATATTTAAAGTTCCCCCTGTAATTGCTTCCCAGTCGCAGAAGCAACACACGAGCAGCCCCGCCGCCCTCCCCATCCGTAATTCTCCCTGGCTTACAGGCGTGCTCCGCTGCGTATGTGCGCAAGAACGCGCAGGAAGCCGGGCAGCCCAGCATGGAACCGGGACCTAAGGACAGCAGCAGGCTCGTTTTACTTATGCGTATCCGTCTCCTGTTCCGCGAGCAGGCAGACCCGAATCGATGTGCTCACAGCCCGGTCTGGAGAGCGAGTCCCAGCCATGCTGTCTAAACGCTCTGTCTTCCACCTGCAACCGAGCCACGCAGCACGCCAGCTCCGGGAGCTGCGAATCTGTGAAGCACACGGCACCGTCCCCGACCCCCTGGAGGCAGAGCAACAGCAAGCGCTTACCTTGGAAGAGACACAGCGCAGCCAGCCCCGCGAACACTGCCCAAGAAACAGAACTGTGCATTTTTGCCTGAATGGTTTTCATGGTTTTTTTTTTCTTCTTCTTTTTCGTCAGGTTCAGTTTTTTCCTTCCTCCTTTTTTTTCTTTCCCGGTAGACTGTGCTGCTCGCACGCTGGTACAATGAGGTTTAAATCCACTATTTCGCTGAAGGACACAAGGAAGTCGAGGGCGTGAGAGAGTCTGACTTCCTCGTAATTATCTCGGCTCGCACTCTGGTACTGAGGCACGTTGTACAATCTGGCCCTGGACAGCCCTCCTACAAGCTGCAATCATTGGTTCTAATCCAAGGATTGACAGAGCTGCAACACACGCGCGCGGGCACACACACACGCGCGCACACACACACGAATCATTTACTGGGCAAATCAGGCTAGCTGATTAAAGAGACAGGAGCCTGGAGAGATAGCGTGATAAATGCCACTTTGCCCCTTCTATATTGCTTTCATTTTTTAAACTGACAATCTCAGACCCCCAGCATCAGAAAATCTCCTCCCCCTGGCGTCCCCTGGTCTCTTGAACTCAGATTCCTTTTACACTGGAAAAATCCCATAGTCAGTGGCAGTGTACTGGAAATTTTAAAGGGACATTTTCATGCTCAGTGAAACTTGCAAGGGTGAGAGTCAAATTTCATTCGTTGGTTCCTATTTTTCTCTGTGATAAAAATATCATTGGATGGCAGGGCTCTTTCCCCGCTCATCAACTTTCCCACCTAATAATAAATAATTCCACCTTTCCTTCTCCTGCCACCTCTGTTTCACAATGTCTGTATCACTCTTATATTTCCTTCACTTTATTTCATGAAAACAGATATAGTGTGGCATTTGAGAAGCAAATCCTAAATCTGAATATGGAAAAATCTTCCTTAAAGAGAACGAGGTGAGTTGATTTCTCATGCCTTAGTGAATCTAGAGTCTCTGAAAAGCACAATGGAAGCATACGTGATTTGAACTACAGCAGGAGAGATTTAAGCTAGACATACTGAGGGACTTTCTGACTGAAAACTTTGTAGTTATGAAATATTCTCAGAATTTTGCACACTCATATCCTTCATGACAGGCAAGAATAAGAACTAGACAGTAATAACAGAATGGATATAATGACTTCTTAAAAGGCCTGATTATAAGATCTGAAAATTTGCTGGTGATTCTCATTTTTGGCTTTCTCTTATGGGAAGCAAGTTATATGATATAAATAAAAATTCTAGAAAACGTAGTGCTGCACAAAACCTGTCCTTGCTCACCGGGATAAATTCTTATTGCAAACTGCTTTAAAACACGGTTTTGAAATGTGGTCTTCAGAGCTCGCAGCTGGTCACCGCACTTCCTATGACTCCCACATAAATTTCAGGGTGTGGTCTCCGACTGGGGAGAGCCAAAGCAGCTGCTGTCTGCTGGTGTTTAGGGTCACAAAGGTGGCCCCAAAACAGCGATCCCAGTCTGCATGCCCATGAGGCGCGGCCTGGCCTGTGCGGCTTGCGGCCGTGGGCGGCTCCTCTAGAGGTGTGTGACACGGAAGCTGAAGGACCCTTGGGGCCCGCACTGGGGCAAGTCACAGAGCCACACAAACTTAGGGCAGGCCACTTCATCATAGTCCCCCTTGACCCCTTTCAAAGTCTGAGAACAGGAATGATTCCTCAGGCCTCCTCCTTGTTCCGAGACGTCTTATACGGCTGGAGTTTCTTGCTTTTCTTCTGCCATTAAGTTCTAATTCACATGTCCATCAAAATCTCCTGGATCTCTGGATATTGTGAACTCTGAGCGGACACAAATCTTATCTATCTATGAGCCTTTTGTGCAATGCTCAGCACAGTGACATGTGTAATTAAATGCTTTGGGGCAGCTGTGACAGCAGGTGATAACAGCAATGTGGACTGGAGAGTGGCTTCCTTTACCACACCGCAGTTCTCTCCAGAATGACAATAATGTCCACAGGTCACGGAGTCTTGAGTCCCGATCTGCAGAGGCAGAGACGCTAATGTTTGCAATGTCCCCGCCTTAAATCAGAGGAAGTCCGCTCACTTAGCAATTTTCATTAAGCAATATGTGTGACAATAAGCAGAAATGAATCATTACGGCCAGTATTTCTTGAGCACTTGTTATGTGCTGGGCACATCTACGGCGCTTGTGTGCGTTTCTCTCCTCGAACGCTCGCGACCTATGGAGCGGTGTGATTATCAGGCCCATTTATGAGATGAGGACCTTGAGGCTGTGAAACAATCTTGTCTACAGCTACAGGACTCTTGAGGGGAGAAGCCAGGATTTGAGTGGAAGCATTTTGCTCTCAAATCAACCCCAAGCACAACATCTTGTGTTAAATATTGTAAGGGAGCAGAATAACTTTCAGGCAATTCTTACATTCTGACATATGATCTCTTTTGCCAATTTATTGATATGAAATTACAAAATATTATGCATGAAAAAATTGCATACTTACTGATATAAAAATGTAGGAAAACCCATATAGTGTTTTTACTATTATGTACTTGCTTTGCATATTACTGGTACATATAATTAATTTTATCTGGCAGCTCACGATAGATTCCTCCATGACAGCTTTCTAAAGTCACGAAGCGATGGAAATGGAAATGCCGAAGTCATGACCTGCCTTATAGCAAAGGGAGAACCTACGAGGTCTAACACATAGAGAGGAGCACTGTGGGTAGAGAGGGTTCATAAATTAAAAGTTAGAGCTAGAAATGCCATGGTAAATCTGGGGCCCTAATGACCTGTCTGAGGCTCTCTATCTTCCTGTGCTGTATTACACTGAAATTTAAGAAAATAAATAAGGTCTGATCCTCCGTTCTGCTCACAGGTGAGGTGATGGCGCTCACTGTTCTCTGTGTAACTTTATTTTTTTGTGTGATTTTTGGACTTAAGATGGAGGCCGAAGCTGCCTCTTCCCAGGTCCAAATCTCAGCTCCACAACCCAGGGGCGGCAGGACTTTGAGGGAGTCATCCCCATCTATCCAGCGCACCCAGCCCTAACCACACATCACCATCATTCCCTCATTTTCCTTTAATTTTTGTTGGAACCAAGCTGAGGTTGGTGTGACCCATATGTCACTGGGAGGAGGGGTCTGTTCCTGGTAGCAGAGCCTCTTGGAAAGCGTGGCTTAGGAATGGCTCTTTGTGCATTCACTGAGGCAAAATACACCCTCAGGGACTACAGAACCAAAAGTGTAATTTGGGCTTGGAGTGCTGCTAAATGCTGAACTATCCAGAGACTTATATCTCTTTCAATGCTGGAATTTACCACACTGAGTAAAATTTCCCAGCTGCCTTTGGGTTTTGCAAAACTATACAGTTCACTTCCTGCTGAAGGAGACATGGTTTCCTTCCCTTTGGCATGGGCCTTAGCTCAGTGTCTCCAGAACAACCCTGCTGGATCATTCAAGAGCTCATTGCTGTAATTACAGATTGCAAAGCTGACCGTAGGCTATTTGTGGGCGAATGCTGCCCAGCCAGGCCCACTCCTCACTGAATGAAAGGGGCCGCACCCAAGGGGCAGCTCCCCTTCCTTTGCATTTTCCACTTATGTCTGTGGGTCTGTGGGGCCTAGAGCTGTGAGGGTCCACTGCTGCAACAGCTCCACATAGGGAGGCCTGGGCTTCCTCCTTGGGGCGGCCTGTGCCCGCAGTCAGGGAGTTCTGGGACTAGAAGCAGGCAATGAGTAATGACCGTCTGATTGGAGGAAGCTGTGATTGGAGGGGACACTTGTAAGTGGCAGTTCCTTGCTCAGCAATCAGAGCTCCTTCCTCTGAGTTGGAAGCCTTGAACATGTCTTCTCATCAGGTGAGCAGGACTCACGCGGCCTCTTGGGGCTGCCACGCTCATGCTATGCGCCCTTTCTTTCCCAGTTCATGGGTCAGCCATTATTCAGAGAAGGATAAACGACCTAAGGCAAAATTAATGACAGGAAGGGACCTCAAATTCTATGCACAATGTAGTCTCTCCCAACCACACTCCTTGAAGTTAAGAGAACTTTACTATAGAAATGATTTTGCTTTTTGCAGATAAAGAAGAAGGAAGGGGCCTAAGAAGTAAAGAAGGGAAACAGATGAGGTCTTTAACTTCTGAAGAGAGGGCAGCCAGGATTGTATTTCATAAACCTTTCATCATCAGGGAGCTGAAGATTCTGCCCAGTGTGTGATGAGCTGGTACAAATAGGGATTGATTCTCTGCAAACTGCCCCCATGCACACCTGTCACCTTCTCCAAGTGCAGACAATAAGTCTAGGAAGGTCACCATGGGGCCTGGCTGCCCTGCTGTCCAAATCCCAGCTGAACTCTGACAGCAGCCCTCCAGCCCCAGAAGAAGGGATGAACAATCCTGCGCTCACAGTGGCCAGGCCTGGAGGACAGGCGTTCAGAATGCCATAGCCAGGGGAGGAGGAGGTAGGTGTGTGTGGTGTATGCACGGGAGGCAGGGAGGAAAGTGGAGGCAATGTTTTTATTTCTCTCAGCTATTATGGAAAGAACTGCGGGAGCTTAAATCTAAAGAGCAGCGCTGAAATAATGTTCAGGACTTAACAAAAGCTGCTGCTCCGCTCTGCCGTGCACCCGCTGTGGCCTGCCTCTGACAAGTCTGCATGCAGCTGGTGATCCCACATGCCCGGATGCTCCGACCAGCCCTGCCTCAGGGGCGCAGCATGCCAGCCTGCCCTTCACGCACCTGGGGCTGAGCAGGGTTCAGCGTTCCCTTGCAATGCCAATTTCAGGGAGGGCAAGGCCACAGCACTGAGAAGGCATCTCCTGCCTTTGGAAGGACTCTCCCACGGAAGGGGCAGCCACTAAGGCCATCTTGGATGTGGCTGTGGCTCCCCTTGATTACTCTTGATGGGAATACCATAGATCTAGGTACAGATTGCATCTGAACTGTCTGGGGCCAGTCTGCGAATATGAGGTGGAGCTAGAGGTTTCCTTATTTATCAATAATTTACCTAAATTTTTATTGAATTGAGAGTGTAACTACACACAGAAATTAAGGATAAGGCAATTTAGGTGTGCACAAAAGAATGTTTCATAATGAATTATAGGCACCGTCATCTGGCCTTTATTTCTAAAAATTCTCCTCAGTATCTTAAATAGAAGCAGCACAGTGTAGCAGACAGTAGAAGGATCAGGAGTTCTGCAGACTCGGCCTCAGTGTGGGCCCCTCAGTGGGTGATGCTGGATGTTCTCATCTTCTGTCTCATCTGGAAAGTGGAAGTCGCAGTCACCACTCCAGGACCTCCCAGGTGTAGAGGCGCAGAGCTTCCTAGCACGACGGGCACATGCTGCTGCCTTGCTTTTCTGTGCGGCTTGCATGAAAGAACAAGTCGACATGCTGACGAGTTATCATTCCATGA